ATCAAAGGCACAACTCATATGTAGGAAAGAAAGAGCTGGCAAGCGGCTCATTGCAGGTTCGCGTTGAGGGGGGTAGCCGTCCGCCACTGGGGGGCTCATGCTGGGCGTTGTGTCCAGCATGTAAAAGAGATGAGTGAGATCTGGGAATTGGGCTGAGCTTGTGACGTTGTCAATGTACAATCTGTTTCTTCTCCGCCCCCAGTTTCGGGACGACCAATTTAGGCCTTCAGGTTAAATTTGTGGGGGGTTTTTTTTTTTTGGGATTTGCCTAGATAATGAGAAACCTGACTTAAGTTTTAACAAATCACGAAAGGTGTCAATAAACAATCTAATCCTTACCACTAGGTCTGTGTTCCTAAGTATAGTCTACCTAAATGTCTCTGCTGAGCAGGTTGAAACTAACTTGCCAGTAGAGCTCACCTCCCACTTAGTCAAGCGATACTGCGTCACACCGTCCTATTATTTAGGCATTATGAGAGCGGGATTTGGGCTTCGGGGAGCGTTGGGGTGGGGTTTGAAGTGTTCCAGGAGAATGTTTAGATGTGTTGTCACAGTGGCCAAGGACACCAACCATGTAGCGTGTCGTCTGTCGTCTGATATGGTGAGCCAACAGGGTCAGGTGCAGAACGAATAGTTGGCCGGTTGAACGTGCGGGGTAGCAAATCTTGGATAAAGCAAGCTCAGACAGCCGATACTTCAATTGGCGATCGCATGTCAAGTGGGCCGTAGTATTACATTAGTGCTCTAGCATGGTAAGGTAGTCGAGGGTTGGTTGGGTGTAGAAAAAAAAATCTTCTCTCATTATAACAACCGAGATGCACTGCACGTCTTCTTTGCTTTATGACATAATAAACAGATTATTAATACTTGAAAGAACAAAGCGGGACACTGCTCACAATATCTCAGTAGATTGTCTAGGAAGGAGGATGCTGAGGGTGCAAGGATAGAAGAATAAGAGAGCGGGGTGCTGGCGTTTGATTAACACAGCGAATGTAAACAGTTGGCTCTCTCCCCACGCCCTCATCAACCGCTTTCTTCTCTCTACTCTCGTCTTTTCTCTCTTCTCTCTCCTCTCTCTCGGATCATCTCCTCTGGTGCGGTGCGGTCTCTGCGTGGTCTCTGATCTCATACATATCTATACAAATATATATCTCGCTCAAACTACAACAGGGTCAACAATAATACGGGCAGGGATCACGCACGAGGGATTATCGGCATAAAACACAGATTGTGCCAGTGCTATGATGCGGATTGGTGCCGTGCCGTGTAACCTTTCTGAACGCCTCGCACCCCAGCTTTAAAAAATAAAGTTTTTTCTTTCTTTGATTTCGTTTCCATTCCTTTCCTTATCGGGCTTGAGCACTGCCGTGCGAGTTATGATGCTAAGGTAGTAGTATAATCTTGCAGCGGTTTTTAGGGTCAATCGATCTGCTTTGATTCAGGAAAAGGTAAATGCATATATGTCCCTGATGTGGGCAGCATTGTAGACGAATTTAATATCATTCCCACCCAGAATAACCGAACACAAAAGAAATAGTAGAAAGGAGAATAAAGATGGATTCTAGAAATGTACATGTGTGCAGGACAGGTAAATTCACACGAAAGACCGGATTTGTTATCAAGAACATGAGGAGAATGCAGGGTTGGGATAGGGGGATCAACATTTTCGATAGAATAATTATGTTTTATATTCTCTTACCATCCGCTTTTTCCATCTGCGATGCAACCGTGTGTTCATTTTGGTTTGTAGCATGGTTGCGTAGGGGAGCAAATGTGGCCGGACGGTCACAACTAAATTGGGGATGTCAGCCTCTGGGGGTGGCAACAAGGTGCAGGCGGAGATATGGTTGAGTATGGGTCATTGTATTTCTATTTTCGGAGTTGTGGGAACGTTTCTAAGTGTGTGGGCAGAGTGGTGGGAGGTGGTTGCAAGCGCCCTGCTCTCTCGAACTAAGTCTTTGTGGAAATCAGCCCACTAGCAGCGTGTCGCTGCTGGGTACATGGGTGCGGCTGGCGGATGACAGGAAGATGCGTGTGAAGCGGGAGGAGGGATCCTAAGTTATGTTGTTGCGCACTGAGCAGAAGTGGATTGGCAGACGACGGCGGCGACACATGCGGTTACCGGGCATGCACACATCAACAAACAATTCACAACCAGGCATGACCGGATTTTGTAGGGAGCCCTGAGAGTGGATTTGACGATGAGTGCTGTTGAGCCGTAACCCAAGCATTTAGTCTTTAAGCTCGTGTTCTATGTTAAGAAAGGCGAGTCCATAGGTGCTTCGATTTGAGAAAACCTGCATGTGAGTTTGTCCCTCTGAACCGAAGCAAAGTGCTGTAGTAGCACAAAGGATAGATTACTGTAATAATAATTTTAATTGAAGAGTGGATGAGACGTGGTCGAATGCGCAGGTAAGGTGGGGGTTGGGTACATCCCTTTTAAACCCCCACACACCCCCCGTTTTAGTTCTTCTTTGCATGTCTGGATGGAAGAGTACAAGGGTAGTTGGCCGGGGTGGTTCTACCGTTGTTTTTTATTTAGGTAAGGGGATGTAGACTTGTGCATCCGTAGTCTACCATTTATGCTACATGGTTGATCCAATAGGTTTTGTGTTTGTAATCTTTTATGATACCTTTTGTGTTGTTTGTTTTGTTAGATAAATACAATACAATAAAAGCCTTGTTAACAAATGAATGGATTCTGCCTACAGAAATGCTAGACAGCTTTTAATCTGAAATGTATATAGGTGCATGTGTTGCTTGTATAATGTCGATTTGACAATGAACAGATCCTTTTCGCTGTGTACTTTTGCTGAGATGTGCGGGTCATGCAGGCAATGTGGCGGCTCTAACCTATCAATATGGGCTCCAAAATAAAAAAGCAAGACGTTTCACGATGCACATGCGTTGGCAGTGTGTCCAAGGCTTTAGCCCTGTAGCAACAATATAAAGACTAACGACTCAGCGCTCAGGTTGTATAGAAATATAATAAAATATCTTGCTGAATGAGATCATGATTGTACTAGCAAAAACTGTATTAATAATAAACATACTACATGATTTAATCATAAAGGGTGCAACATTTTTCATGTAATGTAATAATATTGGTAACATATCCAAACAATAAACAGAGCCTAATAAATTCATTCCAATTGTTAGAAATGACTCTGGTGGTTCTTCATCACTGTTCCTTTCATTTCAAAGGACATTATTGTATGCGGTTGAAAAGTCAGTAGACCGTAGACTGTTACAGGAAAGTCAGATGTACAGGTTCACATCATGTGAACAGTGCACTTTTCATTTAAGCTTTATGTCCCAATTTGGACATTCAATGTGATGAAACCCCATGAAGCATCTGATCAGCAGTTGTTTGGAACGATAATGGCTTGGCTCGTGCTTTAAAGAGTTTGGAAGTGACAGATATTAGTTGAACAGATTTTGGAAATAGTCTATTCAATTTCCTTACAACAATCAGAGAATTGCACAATATATTAGGGATGAGTATGGTTTCATTTACGATTTCTTGCTTTTTCCACCCCCCCCACCACATTGATTTTTATTTATTAAATTTCTTTGTACTCTTCTTGAAATTTAATTTGGTTTCATTTATTTGCCATTTTATGTGGTTAATTAACATATTATTTTGAAGTAATACCAAAACATGTGGTTTCTTATTTCAGCAAATATTTATTACTGTTAACTGCAGTGGATAAATAACACATTCAGTTTGTTAATTGCTTGTTTGCTATTAATTGCTTTTGAGCAGAAATCAGATCAGTGAAAGAGGAGACTTTACCATGTTATCACCTCAAATCTGAAGACGTCCTACTGTAGCAATGATGCTGTAATGATTCTGCCACTGACCAACAACAGATGTTGTACTAACACATTTTAAACCCTCTCTCTCTTTATTGCACTCACACGTGCACTCACACACAACCGCAAACGCACACAGAGAAAAGTCTCGCAAGCCGGCTGCAGGTGTAGCATTGCTCACATCATGAGCACCCATGCTAGACAGTTTGCAAAAATACTAACTTCTCCCACGCTGTAAAGGACACAGTGAATTTACTTTACTACTGAACTCATTTACAGAACTGCTCTGCTGTTTTACAGTGGATACAGCTGGTAGACTTTTCTGTTTTTGGCTTACAGCTGAGGCATGTACAGTGGAGTTTGTGTGATCACTACTATGGTATGGCAGCTGATGTGTATCTTCTTTACATAAAAGAACATTCTCTTCCCCTCAGAGAGAGAAAGACCAAATCACAAAAGGACAGAAAATGTCTGAGAGGTGTGGCCATAAAAAAAAGGTAGTGACTAATTGGCCAACACCCCCGTTAATGAGTGTTTGCCCCTTGGTTAGACACATTAGGAGGCTGTAAAGAAAAATAAATAGAAACAGAAAGAGTGCATGAACCCCACCCAGCCCATAAAACCTAGCCTTTCTCCACCACATGACACAGTTAGACCTCACCAAGGTCAAGTGTAGGGACATACATGACTGCTAGACAGGTTTTCAGGTAGAGATGTGCCACTGTTTATCAGACAGCATACATGTGTTTATGTGTCTGTTTGTGTGCGTAGATAGAAAAAAAAAACCCAAGAGGAATTAGTGACAGATGATGTTAATTACCTCTGAGTTTCAGCATGAATCCTCTGCAATTTCAGTGAAATGGAACACAGCAACAAACAAACAAGTCAGACAACCTGGGCCCTAATTAGCCACAGTTGGATTTGTAAGTATGCTGTTTGCATACATTTGTATAAATGCAGGCTTACATGTGAGCAGATGAACCACACAGTATGCAGGTCCATGTGGTGAGTGTCTGTGTGTGTATTTTAATAGCACTCTGATTGGAGACAGATGGAGGCCAACACGCAGAGGTAGCACAGAAAGCCATGCATGATAACTCTGAAATGGAGAGCATTTTGGACAGGGAGGGAGATCAGAGAAAGAAATAAAAACAAGTTGAGCAAGAGGAGGCCGAACGAATGGAGACGGCCCCCTAAACCAGTCTGAGAGGAGGGGACAGCAAAGGCAGGAGGATATGTGAGGCAGTGTGCCACAGTACGTGTGTGTATGTGTGCACAACTGTGTAATTCACTGTGCCTGGCCGCCAGCCTTGACGAGGTGATAAAAGCTTGTTTCCTATAAACACTAATGATGTTCATTAGTGAAGACCTGAGGGGGCCCACGGAGCAACACAGAGTGACTGTGTTTGTGTGTCTCTGTGTCAGTCAGTTCGTGTGTGCTCCTGGACCTCAATCCCGTTAAAGTGGCTGTTATAAGTGCCCATCCTGGGTCTAATTGCTGGTGTAATTGTCCTGACCCAACAGGTCCACTGGTGTTTCTGAAGGCTGCAGCTCACAAGGCCTGCTAAGTGCTCAGTGATGCCTGGCTGCACCTACATCTCACTCAGTGACCGTAGAGAATACCACAGCTTAACCGTCAATCCTCCTTACAGATGCCATCAATATCCTTCATATTATATTTATAACCCCTATAAACATCATGAAATGGATTACCAGCAAGATTGTATTAATTAATGCACCAGAAGCTGATATCAAACTTTCCATGGTGCCGAAATAATTACTTCTTTTTGCTAACTAGGCCTATAGCCATCTGTTAGGTTCCAAATTGATGCCCACAGAGCTGCCTAATCAGCCAGTAATCTGTACCACACCACACAAAGTGAAGAGCACTGGTATGTCCCATTGTGTCGAGGCCTGAGGAAAAGACTGGTCTGGAGACCTTGTGTTCAACACAGCGGCAACACAATCTGGACACCATATTTCACTGTGTACCTCCCTCAACACCCCCTTTCACTTAGACAGGGCTAAATTAAAACCCCTTCAATATGAAACGAAACCCTCTTACTGAATCCCTTAACCCCCCCCCGCATTCAATCCAGCTGGAGGGCTTTTAAAGAGAGAAAGCGAAGATGGTTGGGTAGGTATGTGCTGGACAAAAGGAGGACTAGTGTACATTCATCTCCTTTCGAGTGTGTTTGACGAATAACTTAATAGTGAAACGCTGGACATTTTTCAAATCATTATCATCATATCCAGGACAGTAATTTCACCAGGAAGACCTCTCTTGGTTGGGGCCAGTTATTACAAGCAACACACATGAATTAATAGAGACATTTAAAAAGGGTTTATTAAACTGTCAACAGGCCAAAGGAAATACATACCTCTAGTGGTGAATCGCAGAGAAATCTCCGGAACTGTGGAGGGAGGCAGAGGAGGGGAACAGAGAGAAAAACAGTTAGTTCTCTGGGTCACCAACTCTTTTGAAAAGGCATAAATGAAAACCATACATGTCTCCATTGCTGTCCAATATAGTTGATCCCTCCCCGTTTTCTCCTCACTCAGGTGTCACATATCAAATGCAGCCCCCCCACACCCTTGCCCCATTCACTGTATTTACACAAATGAAAACATTTAGCCTATCAACTGAAGCTAACAGCCCAGGGAGGACATAGTGACAACTTAGCCTATCTTTGAACACTTTAAAACATGCACATCAGATATCAATTACTGGGGGACTTTATGTCAGTGGAAACATTAAATCTTTCTTCCATTCTCTCTACTATTTCCTGTGCTCCTTCATTTTTAGCGCCACGGTTGAGAGCAGTGTTTACAGACGAGCTGACCTGCAGGACTGGGGGACACAACGTAGCACGCTTCCATGTTTAGGGCCAAAACCATTCTATAATGAGGACCAGCATGGCCACAGTGGAGCAGTGATGGACAGCTTTTGGTTTGCTCAGTCTGTTTCACCCTAGTGCGCCACACCACGGCTTAAAGTTCATATTTCATATTTTAAGGAAATGCTGCAATCCAGCTGTGTTGTTTATTTGCAGATATGTTAGACTTTAGTTCCACTGTCTGGTGAGCAGAACACAAGTCTAGAATAGAACCAAAGTATCATAAACAGAGGACAGAGAGGTTACTAAAGGACTAAATAAACAAGGAGGGAATATGAATTATGTAAACAGTCATTATTATCCAATATGTTTTTCACTTGTTTTCCCTCACTCAAACCCTGACTCTAACTAGGGTTTGACTTATATAGGGTTCTTAGCGACAGTATATTGGATAAAATAGATTTTTTTCCTGAAATGATGTTCTTAACAGGCTGGAATGCATACATTTGTATACTATAAATCTCAATTTAAACATATGTTGATGGAATTCTTGGTGGATTAGCAGATGGTCAAGCTGTTGTCACTGATAGCAGATAATTAATAGGCTTATAAAAACTTTGTATTGAAACGGCAGTAATTCCCCAGCATATTAACAAACCAATATATCAATTTAATCTGATTCTTTGCAATAATGGATTAATCAAAGTTATCTTGTACATACACCAGCACTGCGCGAAAGAGAGAGTTTGTGTGTGCACAGCAGTACAGCTAGTAATAGTAATGGCTGCTGAAGACATGGTTAACTGGGTGGGACAGTCCTGGCTTAGGTGCAACTCAAAATCTTGCCAGTAGCCTGAACTCATCCAAAAAGAGAGCGTGTGTTTCTCAGTTTCTCTGCCACAGCTGATGAGTGTGTCGGTGACAGTAAGGCAGTGTTCTCCAACACGGGGGATGTTTTGGCAGAGAGGGGAAAAAGAATGATGCACTGGCGGCATGCCATTTCTATTTTACCTTCGCCTGAAGCAAAAATCACTTGAGTTGGATTTTGGTCAAAACAATGACTAAATCCACAAAATATTAGTTAAGTTGCAGTCAGAAAAATAGGTGAATCTATAAAATATGAGGACCAGAACTCATAAACAATCCATGCAGTTCTCTCTGAGAGATGTTGTTGTGAGCTATAAAAGTCTCACGCTGTGCTCCCTGCAATGCTGAACACTACAACGAGATAAAACACACTGCCTTTACCCTCAACTCAACCTCACACCACGATGGAGATGAGCAGAGGAGAAGAGAAGAGCGGATGAATAAAACTACTCAGACACAGAACAAATAGGAATGATGGTTCTCATCCTACAATTGCTTTAATGTAATTTTAACTATAGATTATCCTGCTCAAGGCCATTGGGCCAGCTGTACTTGCAGATCTATTCCAGGAAGACTATATGACCACCTTTCCAAACTTTTAGCAGCAGTAACATAATGGAAACTCACTGCATGCAATTATACATATTCTTTAATTCAAATGTATTGAAATTTTATTCATCTGATAAACAGAAGAGCATTTTGTACAAAGTTTATACTTTCCAAGACCAATGTGGAAATTGTAGTGACTACCATCTGTTTAATGATAATTATCTTTGCTCATGCAAAAAAATGCTTATCGAGTTCTCCACCTGTGTAACCATGCCAGTAAAGTGTAATTTTCTACTCTTAACTTTGCAGTGACTACTGCTCTGCTAGTCAACAAATTACCAACAGCAAAGCCTCCCAATGTGCGATATTGCTGAAGGGCACAAATGAAACTTTTGTTTAAAACTCACAAAAAACCCCAAATGGTTTACCAACAGAACAACAGCTGCAGTTATTAGATGACATCATTTATAGAAGCTGCGCTATGACACTGGCTGCTGTGTGTGTGT